ACACCCGATTACTACAAGAAAACTTGAATAGCTTGGCTAATTGATCTACTGCAAATAAACTAGAACTTAATGTTACAAAATGTAAGTTTCTCCGATGCACACGAAATAGTAGAATTACATATGCGCAATATTCTCTACAGGACGAAAAATCTTGAATTAGTATCTGCCTTTAAGACCTTCGTATAATTATTGATAGTAAAATGACTTTTGATGATCATATTGACTTTATTGTAAACATCTCATTAAAAACTCTTGGTTTCGTCAAATTTTCGTCACGAGCAAATTTCGATTGATCAAACCTATAATAACTTTATATAATTCTTTGGTTAAGAGTAAACTTATGTACAATTCAACCGTTTAGTCACCTAAGCAATCGTAACAAAATAGTTTTGGTTGAATGTGTTCAACACAGGTTTTTTATCATATTTGGCTTTTAAAGTAAAAATCAATAGTCCTTGGTTCACGCACGACCTCTGCAATTGCTCAAATTGCTAGTATACCATCCTTAGAGTCAGCTAGAGTTTATCACGATATTATGGATATCTTTAAAGTATTAACCGGTGAAATTAATTGTACTTCACTCTCTAGTCTATTCGAACTATACTATAATGATATAAATACACGTCTGACTGTGATTGTTAAAGAATTCTATTGTAGAACAACGTTATATTATAATTCAGCGATACCCCGTCTATCGCGATTTATAAATAGTTACTCACATAGCGATGAACTATTAGGGTAAATACGCCTACATTCGTCCAGCCCCAGTAATCCACTTCATTAAAAAACAAGAATAACAACTACCTTGCTTTTAGTTTTCGCACCAAATCTCCACCAATGTGAGTTAGTTTATAGCTTCTCAAATGTGGGTAGTTTGCTTACCGACTTTTTTTGGAGTAGTTTACTTGGTGTAGATTACTCATTTTCAGTGTTTTTTGGTATATTTTTTTATGAAATCCATTGTATTTGAAGGTGGTCGAGTACTGAATTTAAATTTGGACGTCAAATCAATAGTCGACTAGTGGCAAAACAGTGATAAATGCTATTCTGGACCGTTTTGAACCAGTAGATAGATTCCTTAGTAGGGAGCAAACGTAGCACAAGATAATTCCAAAATTGTGCAAGCATCCAGTAGTCGACCGCCTGTTAGCTAAACGGACGACATTAGGGTATCGTGTAACCAGTTCTCGACCAACCAATAAAAATGAAGCCATGATTGCATTTTGCCAGTAAGTGTAAGTAAAGACGTAAGTGTTTTTGAGCCATTAAAATCAGAATGGAAAAAAACGGTTAGACAATGGCAAGCAATGCCTGAAAACTCCAATTGTGTTGTAAATAAAAATACATTTTGCCCTTTTCTTAAGCACTGTCTTGCTATGCCAACACTTACAGATGCCATCACAAATGGATTTAAACGATGTGAACTGTTTACGTTCAATCCTGAGGCTATAAACTACAGTAAATGTATTAATCAGCAGGAACAGATTAATAACGAAACAAAAAAAAAGCGTCCGATGATGTTTCTGTAGATGATATCAATGCGACTATTAAAGTGTTGACAAAATATAAAGAACCACTTGCATCTGACGGAGTTGATACAAGTTTAATTTTGAAAACACTACGCGATATATCAACAAAACCTAATTTGGAATTAGTGGGAACATTCGAAGTAATAAAAGAAATCAGAGAGCTGTTACTAATATCGAATGAGTCTGATAATGCAAATGATATCGGTTTAGTTCTTGATAGTAGTAAAATATTCTCAAATATTGCGATTATAATTGATAAGAACATGACGTCGACAGAGGTAATAAGGAATGTACAGTTCTCGAATGTAATGATGCAGAAAGGGAGACTGATGTCGAAACAAACACAGAAAACATCCAGGGACATACTGTAGCCTTGAAAAGAGTAGTAGTTTCCGACAATGTTATAATTCAAAATGAGAACTTAACCATTGTGGATCGAAGAGAAAATCCACTTCCGGAACATAACAACCAAAATAACAAGGAATTTAATATACATGGAAGCGACGAAATAAATGATGAAGACAATAAAAGAAAAGATGAAAGTAACAGTAGAATAATTTGCACTCATAATGAAATTAATGTTGCTATCGAAAAAAGCTTTGGGGCTACAAGTTTAAAGAGAGAGTCGCTTTCAGAAATCAATAATGAAATAAACCATAGCCAGAACAGTGATGTAAAAAGGTGTTTTTAAGATCACCTGTTTTGGCCTGAACCTATTATTTCAACAAGGGGAACAACAAAGAAAGAACGACTTCCGGCTGCAATATCTATCTATATCAATAGGAAGTACAAGAAACATTGGCTTTCAGATTTTTAGCATTTAAACGGTTAAAACAAAGAAAAACTGAGAGCTACATCAAGAAGACAGACGAACCAAAACAAGAGAGGCATTTTATAAAATGTGATAGTTGTGAAGAAGAACTCATTAGCGATGTCGAAGATGACAATTTAAAAAACGTTGAGTGTGATAAGTGCGAGAGATGGTATCATGTCATGTGCACTGATCTTTCGGGAATGAACTACGAAGATGTTCGAGAAATGGACTTTATTTGTGTCAAACGTCTGAAATAATTTGATTATAAGAATCTGTGTTATCTTCTGNTTGATTATATCATATATATAATACTTCTATATTGTTTTATTATTATATTATAAGTGGATGTGTCACGGAACAAGTGAGACAACAAACGAGTACTTCTGTCTCTTTTTAGATTACTCGACCCATTGTACGCAATCGTCACGAATCTGGTGGGGTAAATGATGGGCGATTATAGGCATTTTCAATTGTCGAGTATGCGCGTAATACTCGAAGCAGTTACGAGAGAGACAGACACATATGTTTCCACCGTACTAACAATATAGCAGTATTATATATATATAGATTTTATTACATGTATTTCAAATGCATGGGAGTTTTTAAATTTTTTCAAATTTCTGTCACTTGAGGGTCAGCAGTAAGACATTAAATTGTCGAAGCTGTAGCGCATATGGAAGATAAAAGAATGCCGCATGCTTTATCATAGAACAAATTCCAAGCCGTTGTTATGCTAGTAGCATAGCTATGACCACAGCGCTGTGGTCTAGTAATCCTGAGGTCGCGGGTTTGACAAAACAAATGAAAAAAGGAATGTACATATCCTATTCAATTAATGTTTATGTTTAATTTATTCAATAAATCAAATCTTTAAAACCCCCGTCTACTCAAAAAGTTAATAAATAGATACGAGAGATGGTATCATGTCATGTGCACTGATCTTTCGGGAATGAACTACGAAGATGTTCGAGAAATGGACTTTATTTGTGTCAAACGTCTGAAATAATTTGATTATAAGAATCTGTGTTATCTTCTGTGTTGATACTGTTTGAGTAGAATTTTTTTTAGTTTTGTTATTCTGTGCTCTTTAAAATATAGTTAAAAGAATGTTTACTTTTTATTATTTAGTACTATGTTATATATCTGTATCACGAGTGACATCTTCCCTTATTATATCCTGAAATATAATCATATGATAAAAGCAAAACCGTCTCTTTAAGTACGTATACCTACGTATTTCGCGCGGAGCGGATTATAAAAATTAAATCAGATAAAAAAAATAAATCAAATTAATGAGATCAGAATTTAAAGAATATTAAGTCATGGGCGACTATAGGCATATATCCGCTCGGTATTAGATTATTTTTGGTCGACTACTGGAAAAAACGAGATTTGGAGAATTTATTTTTTTTTTTCAAAATTTATCAGCCGAAATTTGGGAATGCAGTTGTCAAATATGGAAATCAGAATATTGGTAGTACATGATATCCAAAAACTACTTAGCTCTTATTTTTGTTATGGTTTGGGTGCATATTAAAACATAAAAGTATAGTTACATGGACGACTACTGACTAACTTACCCTATTTTCGATTTACATGTTCTCTAAGTCAATGAGAATAAGACTGTGTTCTGTGATAATTAGATGCGCTTAATCCTTTTCCTTGCATAATTGTATTGGGTGTAATACCTGTTGTTTTCAAAATAAAACCAAATTTTGTTTGTGTTTGAAACGGTCCTTTTATTGGAACTGGAATATATTCCCGCAAATGTCAAATTTATATTTTTGAACTTACCCGGGTTTACCTTACTACAATCTCAAGCACGCTTATCGCTAGTTCATTTTGTTTATTTTATAAAGTAACTTTCAGAAGGATCATATCTCATGACTAATTAAATTTTTCCCTCGCAGGTTTGTTCACTATAACTGTATTTTATTTGTCTTTTGACCATTTCATTATTGTTGAGCAAATGGTCATAAAGCTTGTGAATGTATAAAGTGCATTTAACGAGTTGGTAACCAACTCGTTCTAGTCGTTAATTTTAACTAATTCTTAGGTACTGACATTCAAGCATGTCTGACACGTCAAAAGATAAGTGATTTTAAACTAGAAATTCTGACTGAATCATTATTAATCTCATTTACTTGATTTCATTTTTTCATTAGACGTTTAAATTGTCATTATTTTCTCTTTTACAAACCTCCTTACGCCGAAATCGTAGATACGTAACGCATTTTAGTGATGCATACTTTTTTTGAAAGGTTGCTTAATCAGGGTGGCCACAAACTAATTTTTTTTCTAGTACAATTTATCATATAATACCTTGACTTTTATTTTTAATTGAATATTTTTTCTACTTTTATGAAGAATAAACAGTTTAAAACAACATTAAGAAATTGAAAAAATCAAAATTTATTAGTTATTGAAATAAATTATTTATGACCTATTGTTGATAATTCTATATTAAAATATTTAATAAGAATCAGTTCAACACTTTTTTAAAAAATTTAGAAACTTTCGAATGTCCCGATTAAATTCCCTTCAAAATTCCTTGATACTACCGGCAACATTAAATTGCCGATTTACCCAGTCTGTAGCCACCCTGTTTATGGATGACCTGTAACAAACAATAATTAGTTACATCAGTTGGCTCGTACCTTAAAGCCGAATCCTAATTCACCAAGTAAATTTTCTCTGGGGATTTGGCATTCATCGAACATTAATAAGCAAGTGGAGGAACCCCGTATACCAAGTTTTTCCTCTTTTTTCCCCAATTCTAGACCTTTTATTGGTTTTGGAACAATTACCGCTGAAATACCTAGGAAATGAAAAAGAATTAGACAAAGATATATGGGCTTATGCGCAATATTTATATTTCTGGTTTTATCATTGAAGTATTAAATAATTATTTCAATTTTTGAGGTAACCTTTAAATACTAAAAGTTTCTGTTTCTTCCCTTCAATTAAGTCTAGAAATCAGAGGTTGGGGGTTTTTCACTCAATAAAAACTTTATTTTTTCCACATTCAAAAGGGAATTTTGGGAAACAAGGAATTGTACGTATGAGTGTACAGAAAAAAGGATTATTTTATGCCTATGGAAAATTTTTAGCCGAGCATAGGTTGATTATATCATATATATAATACTTCTATATTGTTTTATTATTATATTATAAGTGGATGTGTCACGGAACAAGTGAGACAACAAACGAGTACTTCTGTCTCTTTTTAGATTACTCGACCCATTGTACGCAATCGTCACGAATCTGGTGGGGTAAATGATGGGCGATTATAGGCATTTTCAATTGTCGAGTATGCGCGTAATACTCGAAG